TAGTATGTGTGCTTCCCCACATCATCTGTGTCAAGGCTTCATCATCATCCTCCAATTGGTTACTGAACGTCGATTTCAAGCTCACAGGTCTGGCTGTAGACAAAGGTTCACGTGCTACATGCTTCGATAAAGATGTTCTGCTGGGTTGTCTCTCCTCGTACGACTTTTGTGAACCACGTTCACTTGCGTTACTGCGAGTTAAAGGCTGGGATGCATCGGGATATATCGCTGGAGTTGCGCACGCCATTGCTTCTTCCTTTTGTTTGTGCAATTCTTGCACAAGTGATGCTGGTGGAGTGTAGTCATCATTGCGTTTTGTAGGCATCGAAGAGCTCTCCACTCGCTCGAATCTCTCGGAGGGTTTAGTGCTTACAATACTTTGCTGACTCCGAGTAGGAGACACTGTTTTACACGGTAGGATCTCGTTTTCCAGGTTGTACGGACTTAGATCGCCGTTTGGAGGCATTGCTTCAGTTCTCAGCGAGTTCTTCCCATTTGTCACGTTTGAGAGTGAATGTTCAGCATCGCTGTGTGCATGTTGCGTGGATTCGGGCACATCAGTTGTGTTCAGTTTATCTGAGCTCTGCTGATCACTGCAGCCGTTGCTGTTTGCCACAGCTTCCAACCCTCTTTGCTTCACTGATTGGTGATTTTTCGGTAATCCTATTGGACCCACTCGTCGTGAGCTACGACTGGTTACATGTTTCCTTTGCTGGATGCCTGCTTGTTTTTGGCGAGCTTGTTGCTGCCGCTCCATCATCTCCTCGCGTTCAAGTCTTTTTGCTGTGTACTCGAGCTCCCACCAAATCCGTGCACCAAGCTTATCTCTGTAGTTTACTACAGTATTTCGCTTTTGTATCGAAAAAGCTTTGTCACTTTCTACGGGCGACTCGGGAACGAACTCGGTCATTTGTTCCACAGAGATCCGCTCTTCGCGGCTATCAGGGATGTTGCTTTCTTTTGATCTGTCCATGGTTTTCTCGCTAGTGCTCTCTTCATCGCCACTCCCAATAGTGTGAGGCACCGCAACAGACGAAGAATCCGCTTTCTTGTCCACTGATCGGACTAAATCCTCAGCTTGAGTAGCACTAGGCTCTGATCCAAGCGTGAAAATACGAGAAGAATCCATCGTATCGTTTTCCGTTTCCGTCACCTGAATCAGTGTCTCAATAGGCAATTGTTCGTGACTGCCACGCTGTGTCTGTACTTCATCCGATCGGAGCTCCCCATTCGTGTCCTTTTTTACTTCCGTATTGTCGTTACCGCGGAGGTCATTAAGGCCTTCGTCATGCACTTCTTCATTGCCAGCATCCACTTCATCGCTCTGTGCTTCTAC